TATACATTATAATACACTACATAATTTGCATGTGATGCTGATATGTACAACATTAAGATAAAATTTCTACAGGGACATTGTATAGGTTGTACGTGAGTAAAGGTTGTACGTCACAGAAAGGCAATTGGTGCATCGAGGCCTTTGTGCCGATTCGGTTAGTCGCGTCATTGAACTTAATAGTCAAAGGGTTAACATGATCGCCGCAAGCACACGCGTTTAGTTTAACAAGCGGGAATGCTATGCTAATCATCGTTATTTGATTATATTGAGAGGGCTGGCCACATCGGAATTTAAAAAGCATCATTCCATATCATCCCAGAAGACTAATTTGCTTGAGGAGAATATCACAAATGGTATGGTACAAATTATGATTATAAACTTACTACTTAAACCATATTGTCTGCTTGTTGTAATAATATCTATGTCTAAAATGAAAGATCTTCACGTATAAAATTTCCAAAAGAATTATATTTTGCGATTATTTCTAAATTATGTAGGTCAAAAGAATGCCATCAATACAATTTAAATGACATAAACGTATGCTTGTACCTAGCTTGTGATCGAGCATGCTAAGCACTTATTTCTGTTTGTTACCTTATTTGCCACCCTAACATTAGCTTCACACATCTCAAGGTATAAAATTCCAAAGCTAGCCAATATTTGGCAGCACATTTGTTCTACACACCTAGTCTAAGCACCCGAACTTTCAGACAAAATTATCTGAGCCACGTAACGTATTCTTAGAACAGCCTTCAGTTTCTGAAAGTGGGGCTTATTTCTCGAACTAGAATTTAAAGAGTAAACAAAAGAGTTCAGGGCAGTGTGAACCGATATTTAAATGATAGGCCTCATACATAATATCATTTCTTAAAACGCTAAATTTCGAATGTTGCAAAGTAACATTCATGGCCAAATTAAATTGTGTAATAAGTATTCGAAAAAATTATTTTCTTGTTTATTTAGCTGTTTTCTTGGAATATATCTATTGTATATTTTAAAAAAATGTGTATATTTAAAAAAATATATGTTTTGTTACTAAAATACTTAACACAATTATTAAGTATTTTAGTACTTATTACATTAGAGGAAGTAAACATTTAGCAAATTGTGCAATCATATTACATAAAACAATGCCCCATGTAATCGAATTATTGAGCATACAGACACACCATGCCCGGCTTTACGTCCGATGCAATGTGCATATTGATTTCGGATTCATAACAAAGCTGATCAAGATAGTTAATAATTAGGTTATGATTTCATACAAGTTACCTGCTTAACAAATATGTTAAGCAGGTAACTTCTAACTTAAGTCTAAATATTCTAAAGATAAAATGACAAATACATTACATTTACCTTGTAGAGAGATAAAGGAGATATTAAATGCACATGTACATCTTTTATTTGTGAATTTCATTCTACGTAGCAACTATTTTTAATATTTGCATCAAACATAGTGAATTTTCTAACCTTATTAAATTCCCTGATCATATTAAAATAATTCCGGTGGTTGAATATGCTTGTATTGGCAACTCTTAGAAGATTTTTGAAAAATGTATACCGAATCAAATGTTACTGCATATTGCTAGTAGCTATAGTTTATTGCATAACAAGCCGTATGGGTTCATTAGGGATCGCTTAACAGCAGATGTGTGGATCCAGCATGTTACGAATATTTTTAAGAGATGCTGCACTCAATCTTCTAAAATTATGCTTGAAGCGTCGAATTCAGAGAGACGACTTGAATCGTGTTTATTTTTAATTCCCGACATTTCGACAACTTCACAGCGTTCATAGTTACGGGACAGACTGAGTCGTTGGTATGTTCTGTGGTCTATCAAACCTGATGTAGTGGTTGGGCCGATTTAAGGTGTGCTCACAAACTGCAGACTTGTTCAATCTACTATGTTTTATGTCAGCTAGAACAAACAAAAAGAGCAGAAAAAGAGCAATAAAAACCCGCGTGAAGGAACATGTAGCTGACATAAAACATAGTAGATTGAACAAGATAAACATGAAACTCTATGAATGGGCTTAAGATATGTTTAAGATAACGCATTTTGGCTTCAGCTACCTTAAACGTTGAAAAAATGCATTTGTGTTCTGTGAATGTTAAAATATGTTTCAATGTTAAAATATTGTTTTAAAATTTAGTTTCTAGCATGCCACATCGTCTTACTGAAGTTATAAGGTCTCATAGTGCTTTTACTTTTACTATTAGATATTAAAAGTATAATTGAAAAATGAAATTAATATCTTTAATATGTATGGTTTATCTTTTTTTTTTTAATAAAAATACAAATAAATATATAGGTAATCACTTTTATATAATACATTATCACAACACCACTAGGAAACAGAATAGAACAATCAAATTATCATTTAAAATTGTTCGTCCCATATGCGGGTTCGGAATTCACAGCTTCGTCGGGCCGAGTTTGATATCTGGACAATGAATCAAATATAGTTCACTTCCACCTCATCACCAGTGATGTGGTTGGGAGTATGAACTTGAACGACAAGTCTCTCTATGGAATCTTGTTTTCTGGAGATGTGATGTGATACCAAAAAAGAACTTGAGAATTCGTAGATAAACAGTCGACGAAAGTCTATTTTGTATACGAAGTTCTTTGAGGATGGATACATTAGTCCGAAACGCCACGTCCACGAAATTTTCAACAGATGTCTCCAAAACTAAATTTTTCGGCGATCTTGTAATTTAAGCGACCATGTTTCAGTCCCTTACAGAAAGATTGTAAATACCATACACCTCATTAGTCGAAATTTTGTATTCTTGGTTATACGTCTTTCCAAATCTTCCCTAATCGCTCTACTGTTGCTCGTGTGAATAGCGCATTGACTTTTGATCTCGTCTCAACATCCACCGAGGTTGGATATGTTAGAGCCGCGATATATACAGCTCCGAACTACTTCACAGTTTGCAATACGCGGGACTCTTTGCGTATTGTGTTATCTCTATTTAGTGTAAGTCCGAAGTTGACACTGGTGGATTCAAGTCGTTGCCAACAGCTTTTGTACTTACCAGAAGCGTAGTATTATCAGCGTATCTGTTGATTGTTAAACACTCGCCCTCCAACAGAAACACCCTTATTCATATCCTTTCAGAAAGATTATTATCATGTTCTCATCATAAGTGTACGGCGACAATATACATTTCTGTCGAACACCGGACTCAGTCTTGAAGGCATCTGAGAGGACGTTATCCTTCGTATAACCTCCTCAATAGAAAGACAAGATGCCGCGGAACTCCCACATCCAAAATTACTTTCCATAGGACCGTGTCGAATGCCATTCGCAAGTCAACGAAACATGTTTCGAGTTACAAGTTTTCTTTTTTTGACCTTGATTTTTATACACCTAATACCTACTACACCTAGTAGACCTCATTATCTGGTAATAAATTCAACTTGCTATGTCCACCCGTCCCTGAGAAAATCTGGGAAGGATACTTACATTCTTATTATGAAATTTATTTACATTCATAAAATGAAGTGCACATTTTCACAAGTTTAATTTTTTTCAAAGATTATAGAAATAGTTTAACTTATTGTTGCATGTAGGTACTATGCTGTCCCAAGGAAACGTCAGTGTTGTTTAATCGGCGATGGAAGATAAATATTCAACGACGGACTCGATTTAATTTTAAATAACATGTACTGTATATAAGGTACTTTTTCTGGAACTTCCTATTAAAGAGACGACTGTAATTAGTGCCCTGGTCGATGATTCCGAAAAATTAATAATTATGCATATATTAATCAGAATTTGCAACAAAAGAAAAGGAACCCATCGCTTATATTAAATATGAGTTTAACCTGTACGCTACCCGTTCCTACTTTTAATTTGCAAGTTAGTCTTACAAATTAGACTAGCTAAATTGGTGAAAAATTTGTAATACGAGGCAATGTAAGTATTATACCAGTATTCTGCGAGAACTGAACATGTATATCTGGGAGCTGGCCCGCCGGCTCTTGGTTTGTACGGGCATGTTTGTATGAACAAAACGTTAATCAACGAGAAACTATGCAAAACCTACCTACCAATCGTTCTTGCCGTACTATTATCTGCTGCAAATTGCACGTATTATGAACGTTACAAAAACCGCTGTTGGACCTCTGCTTTATAAAAAATATGTCACGGATATGACATACAACTTAATGTGTACATCAAATACATCGAGAACATTTCACATTCTATCATTTTACAAGTACTTTACTCTAAATACTACTCTGTACCATGCGGAGCAAGTCTAGCAGAGCAACAGACGTGCATTTAAAGTACTGAAGTGCTTACTTAAGTTGTTACTAAGGGAACCGGCATCGTGCTGTTCATGTACTGAAAATTTAATGTACGCAATATGTGGAAAACATCTTTTACACATAAATAAATATGATAGAGATCTGCGACACCAACCTTGAAGAGGCGGCTATTAATGTTTATTGTATTGCATATTATCTTAATGGTGGGTATAAATGTTTGGTGATCAGGATTGCTATTATTGGATTGATAATACATCTTATTAAAGACAAAACTGAGTTTTCCAAAGAAATATAACAACCTCTATATTTCTCTAAAAATAACACTTAAGTGCATGTTATGACAGCTCGCTTGAGAGGCGTACTTATGTCATGTAAATGATTAATTAGTATTAAGTATTCGTTTTTAGTATTATTTAGTATCCACAGCGACATTTTAGACTTTGGTACATTTTTTTTTCTTTGACAAACATTGCTTGCTTTTTATCTTGTAATTTATGTTTACAAAGATTGAGCGTAAGTACAAATCATAATAAGATAACGCAGGAAACAGGAAGGTAATGCACAAATTACAAAAGGAAACAACTAAATCAAAGCTAAAGCTCATATACACTACGCACTTACCTCACTTTCCGATTTTTTTTTTTAGTTTTCTGGTCTGGAATACCTAATTCGAAGTTTACCTTGTGACACGGTGATTTCACATGTAGCAATCGCACGCTACCTTTCAAGTACGGTATATCCATTATGGTGGTAGTGGTGGTGGTGGTACTCACCGGCATCGTCGTCGGCGGGCAGGGGGCCCACGGCGCCGAAGAAGCGCTTGTCGAGCAGCTGCAGCAACTGGAGGGCGCTCTCGTGGACGGGCGCCCGCGGGCACCCGGTGCACATGAGGGTCACGTTGATGATCGCCGTGTAGTGGTCGCACGGGTACTCCCTGCCGGGGAGGAGAGGACGGTTGTCTACTTTCACGGCTCCCGCCAAGTTTCACCAAAATTAAAAGCGAACTTATGGTTAAATTAAGACGTATACCTGTCCTATTATATTGTAAACTAATCCTTTTAAAAAAGAGCAACTGTTGAGTTCCTCCGGTCGGTTTCTTCTCAACCGAAACTGCTTTCCGAACCGGTGGTAACTTGCTTACGAACGTAATAATTTTTATGTAGGGTTTTGACCTTTCATAAGAACGCGCAAGCGTCTGTGTGAATAAAAATATTTTGAATTGGAATCTGCCTTGTTCGGAACCGACTTAAAGAGTTAAGCGGTGATAATCATTTAACATCGTAGACCGACTAGTCGTTTGTCAAATTTTATTATTAAAAAAAGGACGTATCAATAGATACGTATTAAAATATTAATTACATTTCTTTGTCCGATTTGTATAGACAAGTTTTTACGCTTACAGAAAAAAAATTTTTACATTATTGTAGTTTTGGCTCAGAATATATCCAGTAAAATGATTTCTTTGCGTATAATGTGCCTTTGAAACTACTTTCCGTATACTTGAGAACGAAAAAAGCAATAGTCAGATAATAATAAAATGCCTTGGAGGAGAGAAAAATACTTAGCGTTTTTGTAACCTTATTTTTAAGAACGCCAATGGACGACTTGATTTCCGCAACGGGATAGAAATTTTAAAGAAAGTAGAATTTATTCCAGCCCTTTATTATTGGATCAAAATACAATTTACTCCCGCCTTCAAATCGTTACCGCCATAGATTGGTGTTCCGTCTTTGAACGTATTCTTTGCGAGTCTATTGCGTTACCCAAACGATACATAGTTTTGCGAATCTCTGCACATTGAATGCATAATATGCATTTGTTAAAACCCATTATTATGACGGATATGGAAATAACGTCACGCGAAATGCTCACGTCATTCATCAATGAGCAGTACTGATGCTTTAGATAAAAAAAACGTCTTTGTTAATGTTGCATTTTAAACGGTCATTACAATAGTAGAATAGTATTACATTATCCACCATTAAGAGAAATCGGCAATATATATATATATGTAGATGTGTATAAGAATATTCAGTTGACTATGACAGGTGCAGTGTGTATATCTCTTATCCCTTAAACGGGCAATTCTAGTATTATATTTAATCGGAATCTCGGAAAGGCTCCAGCGATTTTCACGAAATTTAGTACTTGCGTAGATTCGGGGGCGAAAATTCGATCTAGCTAGGTTTCATTTTCAGAAAATGTCCTTTTATCCCTGTTTTCAGGGAATGAAAAATATCATTCGAATATGACGGTAAATTTTGCCGCAAAAAAAATGTTATAATAGTTCGGTCGGTAATCGGGCGGCCCCGAATCAGACGGCCGTGGTTCGTGGCACGATCATTTACACACTCTTTTTTTTTTTACTTTTTTTTCGATTCCAGATCATTGCTTTTTTAATTTTTTGTTTATCCCGATGATTTTGTTATCTTTTCCCTTTTTTTAATTGTTTCTTTTGTGAACAACACTACTTCATATTTTCTTATTATTAGGTCGGTAAGAGCGAAAAATATTATGCATATTTCATTACTCAGTAATTTGTATCTAAATGTAATTTCCAAAATATGTCCTCCAGGTACTAATGTGTAATGTTAGTTTTGGTTGTGAACTTTTGTGACTTCAACATTCACTGAACACTACGACGAAGCTTTTAAGGTGGAGTTCATAATAAACGTTTCGTTATTCACGGTCGGGCACTGAAGGGCTTAGTTCTAAGTGCTGTTTCTTACAACGGTGCATTTTAAGGAAAACAAACGAAACACTAATGGTGGTTTCAACTGAACAGACATTTAATCCAGGACTCTCGTGTTTCTCACTCTTCTCAGGCATCGTTTTAACAAAACACCGATGGAACCCTAATAGCAATACAATAAGGGAGTAAAACTGTTTTTTTAATAATAAAATGACTCTTGCTCTGCACTTACAAACACACTTCTACCTGAGAAGAACCGTCGAAAGAAGCTTAACGGTACAATTTTTTTTAAACATAAGTTGACAAAAACAAGACCGCGGAGTTTCTTGCCGGTTCTTCTCTGGAAAGGTCTAGTTTAGGGAACCGGTGGTAGTTTTTTAATGTTCAATTTCGTTGGAAAATTGACGTTGACTTTGAGTCTTTGAGTAGAGTTCAGTGAATGATTTTCATCAAACATTGTAATTGTTTTTTGATGAATATAACTAAAGGTGTACCATAAATAAAGAGACAAAACTGAGTGCTCATATCGGCCAAGAAAAAGGCTTCAAAAAAGAATATAATTGTTGCTATGGTAAGCATCGGTAATAAAACTGTCAAATTCGCGTGGTTTTGCACATATTGTTGATAATTTTCTAACATGAAGCGAACCGAACGAGAATCGTTTGCAAAAAGAGTAATTCGGTACTATCTGAATAATGGGAAATCCGAGGCAGTTCGTCATTTTTCTCAAGAAGGGGCTATAAGAACAAGTATCTATAGGATAATTAAACGGTATGAACAATCAGGAGACCTTTATTTTCATTAAGAAGATTCCAGGAAGACAACGTAGCATAGAAACTGATCGATACATAGATAAGGTAAAAAAGGTTTTTAAAGAAGCACCTTCAACATCTGTGAGGACTGCGGCGGACAAATTGATAAATATCTAAGTCAAGCATATCCAGAATTAAAGTTCAAGATCTGGGCATGAAGGCTTTTGTAAAATTGTCCGCTCCAAAGTACGTGAAAGACCAAGAAGTCGAAATGTTTTGAGCTCTGTGTAAAAAAGAGAACAAAAAGAATTCAGAAAAATCAAAAACGTTGACATTTTTCAAACAAAGATGGGCTAGATTGGCCAAACGGTTGGTAACAACTTCTGGTGCAAGCATTAATTTGAGAAAAATCGGCTAGAAAGGCATTGCAGGAGCAAATTTGATATAGATTGTATTTTTATGATTATTATGCATAATTTATAATGACATACATAACAGTTGACATACAATTTTTCATTAAAAAAAATTTCATCGATTTGTATCTTTACTTCTGCGTCACCCAGTATTATTTCGGTTACGAATGAAAGCTTTGTTTTTGTATTTTTTTGTTGTCTACACATAAAATTTTTGATGTTATATTTCTCTCGGGGCCTTTAAAAACATGACAATTAAAATGTTTATGTTTACAAAATAAAAGATTAAACAAAATGTTCTAAATCAAATTGAATCACGAAATCCTAGTAGCCCCAAGTATTAGCTGAAAATAGTAGTAATTTTGACACCTACCGAAATGGGTCACAAGCTGAGCACCCACACGTACGCAAATGATGTATAAACTCACCACTAGGTTGTTTGACCTGAGAAATAATTAGGGCACGCCCTGGAGCTTCATCTATTTACTCGTACTAGATGTAGTAGTCTACTTCGAATAATTAGGATGACGCGAATAATTATTAACGGGAAGCCAAACGTAAATTAAGTTATTGGCATTATACTCAATGTTAATAAACTAGAAAGTATTAATGTAACAAAAACTGGAATCCTTAAAAAGGATTTATAAGGAAGTTAGTTGATTAAACCACAAACATATATCTTCGCATCAAATCACTTTACCTACGTATCTGATTGATTAGTTCATAATAATAATAAAATAGGAAATTTCTTAGTTAACACTTTCAGTGGAGCAAAATAAATATTTTTCCCCGGTACATTTTATTACGCCGGTCTGAAATACAGTACGTATTATGATTGGCAACCATAATAATCCGCTGTCGACGGTTGCATTTAGTGAAAATGATCGTGTTCCGCATCTAGCGAGGGCTATTCGTTCGCGATTGGCGTCTCAACTCTCAAGTTCGCCTAACGACATCCAGGTCGTTGCCCTCGATCATCCCCATAGGGCGATCAGATTGATTAAATCAACTAGATAATTGATTTGTCCGCTATTATATGTCAATATTTTTGTATAGAATATATTTTATATTTTTTTGGAAGAAGGCAAAAAGCAAGCGAGTCACCTGCGGTTTCAATCTTAAATCTACAGATAGCTTTGGTTACTAGCGATAGGTATTCGACATTAGCTCCATAATATTTACGTGAAAATTCTATCTCCAGATACCAAATCTATCTATAGATAGGATATTGAAACCGGCCGTATGGGGTAACTGCATGCTTCGGACGCGTTTATATAGCATCTGATTTTTAAATATTTACGCTGAATATTTGTAGGTATGTATGCATATATTTATCTGAACTATACATTGAAAATATTAATAAATTATTGATAAATTAAATTATTATTTATTATTTTGTAACCGGCCGGTTATAAAATTGAAACATCTATTTAAATGATCTTTGTCTTTAATATTTTAGCCTATTTGAGTCCATTGCTGAACATAGGCGTCATCCACAAATCGCCTACCAACCTGAAACAACTGCATCGGTTTACTTCTCGCCCACTTGCATAGGTGGTCACTCCTAACACAAGCTAAAACAAGCTATTAATGTACCGTCTAAATAAAAAAAATATAAACAAAAACTTCACCAGACGACTCAACGGGCGAACAAGAAGCCACTGCTTTTTGGCGATTGTTAAGGAATAAAATGACTAGTAGGCAGCCTGAAGGATAGCAGTAATAAGTCATCGGGGTCTCGGTCCGCACCGCAACCTCGATGGCCCTTAGGTGACCTGCCGTAGTGGAACGCACTCATGAGCACATGCGCGGCCCTACCCACAGCGGAGGGCCCAAACCCGTGGGCTCCGGCTAGCCCACCGGTTCTGCGTCAGATGAAGCTTTTATAGTCTCGGGACTGAAAACACAGACATCAGTTAATACAAGTTACAACAAGTAATAAGTAAGAAATTTTTAATAAATAAGAAATATTATTTATATTTTTACAATGATATAACCATATCCATGTGGAATATTCATAGTACAATGTAATTGATTCATTATTCATCATATTAAATGTAATTCATTATATTTTTGG